AAAGGTCAATCACTCCTCTTGGATATACTATCGACTTCTCGGGTCTATATCCTTCAGGAGTAAATATATACGCTATAGAATACAAATTTTGTAATTTTTCACACAAAAGTCAGGGTACATTTGACCCGCTAAATAATAAGCGATCTTCATTAAAACAGGCATGCTTACTCTTTGGCCCTTCTCCATGTAAAATTTCGCGATTTTCGGGCCATAATTGCGGTCTCGGGAGCGACAAAAAAAAAACGACAAAAATTAAGTTTGTGGTCCATTCCATCCTCTAAATTTTAACCGATCTTAGCCAAAAACAATAGGGGTCTTCATTGGGCAGAACCAATCCTACATGCAAAATTTCGTGAGGATTGGTCCATAAATGTGGCATGTATCGTGTTTGCAAATTACGGATGGACGGATACACGTGTCTAGATCGACTCAGCTAGTCGAGATATTACGATCGGTATACTTAAAGGTAGGTCTATTTCGCGTCGTTACAAACTCTTGGGGCTGCATAAAGCTATAATATCCTGACAACATAGTTGTGTAGTGTATAATAATATGTTAACCTAAACTCCGTCGGGAGGGTCAGAAAATATTTTCGCCCGAAGCCCTTAATAGCACATTATATGTATTTCGGTCGTAATAAACAACAAACATACAAAAAAATGGGTTCGGGAGTGTGAGAACTATATATTTAGAATATTGTGCGACAGATCATTTTATCCCACCAATAATCTGGACTGCAAAATTACAGAGCTTTCGCGTGGTAAAATGTGGCTGAAAAGGAACATATATTATCCTCCAGATAAGCGAATATTTCGTGATATTTCTTGACCGACTTGAGGTCAACAAATATTACTAATATTCAGTACAGCCCTTCTAATTACTTATCGAGATTCCCTTCACCGTGGGTTGTCTTGTGATGTTTGGCTTGTGGCCTATAGATCGACTCGAAAAAACACATAAAATTGAGTTTTTGGTCTACTTCATCCCAAATTTTTTATGTGATCATCAACGAAAATTATAGGCGTTGTCCTTGACCATAACAGGAACCTCTTGGAAAATTTTAAAGCGATCAGCGTCTTATTTCTGCCCTCTAATGTTAATGGATTATTAAATTATATCAGAATACGTAATCACCTATAAATATTTAAGTGAAACTCCTACATCCGGGTACATACGACAATATAATTGGTATCATTTGAAAGACCAACCACTCCTCTTGGATGTACTATAAACTTCTCGGGTATATGTCTTTCAGGTATCTTTTAATACAATAGAATAGAATACAAATTTTGTAATTTTTCACACAAAAGTATGGGTCCATTTGACCCGCTAAATATTGACCGATTTTTTTCGCGATGTTAGGGCTATAATTGTGGTCTCTGGAGCGACCAGAAAAAAACGACAAAAATAAGTTTTTGGCCCATTCCATTCCCTAAATATCCACCAAAAACAATAGGGGTCTTCATTGGGCAGAACCAATCCTGCATTCAAAATTACATGATGTTTGGTCCATAATTGTGGCCTGTATCGTGTTTTCAAATTATAACGGGCATACGGACGGACGGACACACATGTCTAGATCGACTCAGCTAGTTAAGATATGGCGATCCGTATATTTAATCGTGGGTCTAGGACCAATATTTCCCGGCGTTACAAACTTTTGTGGCTCCACAAAGCTATAATAAACTGACAACATAGTTGTGTAGGGTATAATAATATGTTAATCTATAATCGGTCGGGATGGTCAGAAGTATTCTATCCTCTGAAATTGAAATACCAATTGGCGCAGCCTTAAGGCAAAACTCTGCTGGTACTTTTGACTTGCCAAAAATGACGGAACCTTTATATGGGATCTACGTCTTAAAATGGACCTGTATTGAAAATGTTCTGCGAAAAAATGTTTCGTAATAACAAATATACAAAAAATGGGTGGGGGTGTGAGAACTTTATATTTAAAATTCTGTGCGACAAGTTATTTTATCCCACCAATAACCAGGACTGGAATATTACAGTGCCTTCGCGTCGTAAAATGTAGATGAACAGGAACCTATATTGACAATGTTCAAATTAATTTTTGAGTTTCAACAGAATGATATATTAAATCAGAACTTTACCTCCTGGTCCAGGATATACAAATTCAAATTTTTAATTAAATTTTGAAATGTTTAAGATTTCGAATCGAATTAGTTGTTTGCGACCTACGATTTGGAGTAGATCCACTTGGCGACACTGATCTACCATTTATCTTTTTACCTTGGACCATTTAATTTCAGTAACATTACCATAGCCTCTATGAACAATGTTACCGTGACATTCGTAGTGTATGTTTGCATATTCCTTGAATGGAAGAATACCAGAATAATGGTTGTCAAAAATTCTCGATTTTCATTTTTCCTGGTAAATGAATATAAATGCTTGTTAAGGTTTGTAACTTTGCACATATATATTTGAAGATTTAAAAGAGAAGAAAAATAATTTACAAAAAATTTTTGTTATTGTTTTGTTGTTGTTTTTTGTAATTAAAGAAAAGTCCTTCTTTTTGATGGCGGGCATGATAACTCCTCACTGGAACGTCGGAATCCGAAAATACCAACGGTGTTAGAAAGAGTACATGTCTGGCTCTCGTATGAACTAGTATTATTGACTTCGCTCTAAAATTAACAAAATGGTGGACCTTTGAAAAATATTTTTGGAAAATCGCCGATTTTTTACAAAAAACCAAGTTAAAAAATAAGGAAGATCTTCACCGATTGGCTTTATCCTAGTTCATACGAGAGCTATACACTCCCAGAGAAACGTTGCAAAATTTGGAACCGATTGGATTATTAGTTTTTGAGTTATCGTGCCCGCCATTCGCAAAAAATGTTTAAAGTTTGAGAAGCCTTTCAGCCGTCACTTGACGACACAATAAAGCTATTTTCACTTGAAATTTTGTAGAGACATTCTTGAATTAGTGTAGAATCGAATTAAATCAAAAAAAAAAAAAAAAAAAAATTGACCCCGAGAATGGGGGAGTCCCCTAAGTTGTCAAAAAATTATCGCACTCTGATCAACACACCTCCAAAAACACGATTTTTGAATTCTTCAACATAATATTTAGGCGACGTTATCATTCATTGGGTGACAACTCAGAGCTACACGACGTTTTGCTGGTCAAATTACTTTGGTTTGATCCGATGTTTGAGATATCGCATTATCTTGGACATCAATGATACGCCATGGTTTACTCTTTTTTCTACAATTTCTTTGAAGACTTCAGGGAAACAAATTGTGGTGTGCCTCTCAGAATTGACCTCCTAAGTTGCTTAAGCGACACAGTCTACTTACACGACTACTTTTGTCGAAGAAACGGCCCACCTTTTGCTTTCAACGAAAGTTGGAAGCAAATAGTGGAATCTATCACACGATAGATTACTTCGGGATTAAGTTCCAAAACTAATGGCAATAGAAATTTTATTTTCCCAATTTCAGGATTCCAGGATTTATACTCCAATCTAAATTATACCAAATTTTGGTAAACGTTAAGATAAATTTCCATATCTGCCAACCTCAGCAATCAATATTTCCAAATTTTAGAAATACCCAAATCCAAAGTGTACCAAATTTAGTACACAATAGTACGAATTTTCAAAACTTCCAACATAGCCCAATCCTACACCCCAAGAGTGATCCCAACTTCAAATGTCAAGATACCAGTTCTATAGCTTCACCTACATCCAAGTTTGGTACCATTTAGTACACATTAGTACGAATTTTCAAAACTTCCTACATTCTCTAATCCTGCACCCCAACAGTGATCCTAACGCCAAATTTCAGGATTCCAGTTTTATCGGTCCACCAAAAATTCAGATTGTACCAAATTTAGTACCATTTAGTAGTACCATAAAAATTAATTTCTAAAACTACATCTACGCCCAAATTCTACACTCCAACAATCCTTATTTGCAAATTTCAGTGTTCCAGATCTATCGGTTGACCCAAAACCAAATTGTACCAATTATAGTACGATTAAGTACTTTTTTAGATAATAAAAAATAACATATAATTCAACGATGGTAAAGTCAATTTGAAATTTCTGGATTCCAGTTCCCATCCGTTTCTCTAAATTCAAATTGTACTAAATTTAGTACAGTTTAGTACTTTTCGTATACATGAGTACATACATTCAAAACTACCTCATTATATCGATCTGAGCAGTATGATCGATATAATGAGGTGGTTTTGAACTCCTTAATTCGCATTCCAAATTTCAAGTTTTTAGGCTATTCGTTATCATTCTACGAAATTGTACCAAATTTAGTTGACTTTAGTACATTTTGGATATTTATAGTTCGAATTTCCTTTGGTACATCTATTCTAGACACCACCAGTGACTCATATTTCACATTTAAGTGTTTTAGCTCTACCGGCTCGCCAAATACAAATGGTATTTTTCGTGCCGTTCTATTACGAATTCCCAAAAATCCAACCTTATCTGCCACCTTTGGACCAATGACCCTGGATTTAAAAATGCACCCTTGTCTTTTATATACAGACTTTTTGATCTTTATACAGATCTATGGTCTCTCAGCAGACAAGTAGTATCTATACTCTTCCAATCTGTCGATTCACACACTAGTTGGTCTTTGCCATGGGATGTGGTTCTTCAATAGAAAATTTAATATATGCTCCATCTTGTGGTGGAGGGAATAATGAGGTGTTCGACAAGTACATATGTTGCATATATTGTACAAAGACCCTCATTGAATGGACGCATTGTCCAACATATTTAAAATATTAAAATCTTTAGCAACTGAATTATGAGGCCAGAATACGCTCCATGCTATTGGGATTTTGTGTGCTGTCTCCATTCCATTTCCCTTTCGCCTCCAATTAAACTCTATTCCTTACTTCCCATAGCTATTAACACAGTCATAATATATATTAATAACTGCTTCGATAATAATTGACAACTGTTCCGCTTCATTCTAATTGTTTATCTTTGTTGTTTCGTTCGACAGGAAGGAAAACGTGGCTATTTAGAAGGTTTGGCCAGCCACTATTGCAAAGAAATCAATATGCCTTATGAAGATGTCTTGGATGCCATCGAATTGGCGCGTGTCTCCAAATGGAAAGAGCGACACATTCGCATGGGCAATACAAATACGGGTGGTTCGAATACACTGAGGAGGGGTGCTAGCGCCGGTGCCGGCACAAGCTGTGGTATGGGTGTTAGTGCCATGATAACGGGTAATATAGCACATCAATCGATGATGCCGTCGAGTCACAGTCAACCGTTATATGTGCCTGGCAAATATCTGGTAAGTGGCTAAATGAACTACAATATCCAATTAACCTTGCCCGATTGAACGACGGTATCTCTCAATCTCCTCTTTGTAGCCCTCCAGCTGTTTATCGAATCGTGAAGAGAATGAAATCTATAGCTATGCTCAGAATGATTTGGCCAATCGCATGGCACGTAATGTTATCGATTCGAAATCAACGGTTAATTTGAGTAGCAGTGCGGGTGGCGGCGGTGTTGTTGGTGGTAGTGGTATTGGTGGCATGCAGCATAGTTATCCTGGAGCACGGTCAAATTTCTTTTATGAATTCTCGGCAACAGGTAGAGTAGTAGCAGCAGTTTGGGCCTTAAGGCGCTTTCTGTGTTTTTTTTTTCGTTTGCAAGAAATTATTTTTGATATTGTTATCATTTCCGTTTCCGTTTTGACATTTTTGTTTTGGTTGTTGTTGTTTGCCTCTGTCTCATGCCGTTGCTCTTTTTTACAGAAGGACGTAATAAACGTAAACGACATACCACAGTATTTGCCCGTTTCCTGAATGGTTTACGCCAAGGTGCCGACGAACTAAATCCAGCTGAAGGCATGCAATTAAAGGTATGTTTATTTGGTAGTATGAGTCCGAATGACAATAGAATTTTGGTGAAGGGGACCACTGCCATCATCATTAAACGGAATAAGTCAATTTTAAAAGTACAGTGATATATTTTGTGTGGGAAGAATTATTGAGAATGTGAAGAGGTTAAAATTGGTTAAATGATTGACTCTAGCAATAAGTTTTTTCGTATTTTTTCTGATGGAAATTCTGTGCTGGTAACCACAAATTTATTGACAAACAATTTCAAATTTATAACTTATAAGGATTAAACTTGACAGAAATTAATGTTAGGACCAATGATGACACTTATAGTGTTTGATTACGATCGAATAATGATTAGGGGATCAAATAACACAACAACTTTAGCATTACCAATTGTTCTAGACGCTGTATAGATTAAAAACGAACACCACGAAATTTCGTTCATTTTGGATCAGACTTCGTTCAAACAGGACTTCGAGTCAAGATTTTCTATCCCAAAAAGTGAATTTATGATAAAAAAAATTTGTAAAATTATTCGTAACAATCAAAATGCAAAATTTAATTGGAAAAATAAGTGTTTTCCAACTTGTTCATTCCCTAAATCCCTCTGGTCGACGCTGCGAAATATTGGTCCTAGACCCACCTTTTAGTACACCTGTCATCATATCTCTAATACCTGGGTCTTTATAATTGTAAACACGATACTCGGCACATTTATGTACCAATCGTCACCATATTTTGCATGTAGAAGGGTTTTGGCCAAAGAAGACCCCCATTGGTATTTAGGGAATGAAATGAACCAAAAACTTTATTTCTTTTTCTGGTCGCTCTAGAGGCCACAATTATGACCCGAACATCTCTAAACTTTACACAGAGAAAGTGGTCTGACCATAGAATAAGCATGGCTGTTTTGAACCAAATTGGTGTGTGAAAATTTTCAAAATTCCACTCTGTGGCGCCCGAAGGATATACAGCCTAGAAGTAGATATTATCCATGATAAGTGGTTGACATTTTGTTATATGTACTCGGATGTGGAAGTTATACCTAAATATTTACCAAGCCCACCTAAAATGTACGTCATGACGCAAGTTTTGGAAAAGATGCGAGATAAGAAAGAGGAGCCTTTGGCCTCTAAACGGTCAAATATTGTCCAGGCTCTGAATTCAAATCCGTTTCAAACAATTACAAATGTCCGTCCTTCTGTCTGGATGGCTTTGCAAAAGCTACTAGATCCTAGATCAAGTCCAATGATGAGATCCATTACTCGCTCAACTCCTTCTGGTACCTCTCCCACAAAGGCTCAAAATTTTCAATAGTTATAAATCCAATATTGGACTAATGTAATGTCCGATTTGATCCAAACTGTGTACATTTCGTTCAAACCCCAATTAGGTTTGCAGATGTGGAAAATCGGTCCACTTCTTCTGGTACCTCTCCTACAAATTGGTCGAAATTGTGCAGAAAATACATTTCATATGGAAACTTTGTCAATCGATATGAAACATTTTGAAACTTTGTCAATCGATATGAAATGATCGAAATATCCAGATTTCATCGTCGTAATATTTTTACCTAGCCTAGAGCGAATCCAAATAAGGGGCCATTCTTCTGGTAACTTCCCACAATGTGTTGAATTTTTGGACATTAGTTGATTCAATAACAATGGCATGGAATGTCCGATTTGATGCCAAATATGCATATCATAATATTTAATTACAATTGAATTCCAGTTGGATGATGGAACCCACCGGTCAATTCCTTCTGGTATTCTCACACAAAATTGTCAAAATTTTGCTGAAAATTAATTTTATAATTCATGCGAACGGACTATCTGATTTGTATAATATTGGAAGGTGGTACTTATACACTTCTTCTGTTACCTCCCACACAAAAGGCCAACATTTTGAAAAATTTAAATCTCATGTGAAGCGAATGCTATATCCAATTTCATTCAAACTTTGCAAATAGTAATATATTTGCCTTACATAGATCAAACTTGAAGATGGGACCCGTTGGTCCACTTCTTCTGGTACCTTCCCTCACACTTTGAAAATTTGTTAATCCAATATCAAGATAATGGAATATCTGGATAGATCCAAACTTTGCAAATCGTAATATTTTTTTTTTCAAATCTAGATTAAATCAAACTTCGCACATAGTAATATATTAACCTTACATAGATCAAGCTTGAAGATGGGACCCGTTGGTCCTCTGCTTCTGGTACCTTCCCTACCACTTTGCAAATTCGTTAATCTTGGTGGCAAGTAATCCCATAACGAAATTTCAGGTTTGTAGTTTAACAAATAAAAAAGAAGCCCAGGTGATCATTTTATATGGTCCTCCAAATGGGAACCTTCGTCGGGACCTTTATATGGAGACAATGTAATGGTAAATTGTCTCCTAGTCTGCTAGGATGGAAAACTAGGCTAGGAAATTAACTATAACCTCTGAATGTATTTACAAACATTGACCTACATTATGAAACTAGAGCTTTTTTGTTGAAAAATATGACTAAACCCCGCAAAATTCTGGCAATGTGGAAGGTTCTTTATATCAAAATTTAGAGGGACCTTTTTATGGGGGCTGTATCAACACATGGATCTATAATGATCGTTTTCTACCCAGATGTATGACAAAAATCCTGGAATGGCAAATTAGGCATACCGGAAAATGAGTCGGGCCATATATGGGGCTTTCTAAAAACATGAATCTACAGAGATCATTTTCTGCCAGATATATGTGAGCCTCTAAAACCCCAGAATATATGGGTGCTGGCTCAAAACATTGTTAGTTTTCTGTATAAACGTATGCCAATCTCCAAAAACCTGGTATTTCATAATACAGTCCTTTGAATTAGACCATGAATATACCGTATATTGAGGGTAACATTATATGGAAAAAACATGGCCCCATTTGCAAAGACCCTAAGGGTAAAAGCAATGTATGTGGACATTTTGAAAGCTTTATTTTAAATATTACGATCATGATTTTAACATACCGACGGGATGGATATAGAAATGTTACTTTATGGAGTATCCGACGAATCTTTCGTGGTATTGCATACCGAATAACAAATATAATTTAGGTTCCTCTTTATGTTGGAAGTAATAAATTCTTTCAATTTCAAAAATTCTGGTTATAAAATTAGAATGAACACAGTTTGTACCATTAAGTTACGTGCGTACACAAATAATACAAGATTCCAAAATAATTACAAAAATTCAAAAAAATGTTTACTAAATTTAGTACCCTTTATGTTAACCCAAATCCATAGCTCAATACATCTCCATATCAATATTCCGTGCTTTAGATTTCTTTATTCAATCCACATACTAAATTTAGTATCTTTTGCAGTATTTCTGAAAATTCGTATACATCTTAACTATACAACCAACAGGATATTTATATGGGGACTATGAAAAAACTAAATACCGAATTTCAGACACTCAGGTACGACTTATATTGAATATTTTTCATTCACCAAGAATTTGGAATGAAAAACTTGCCACCATTTTAGTTCGATATTGCAGATATTAAGGTCCTTAAAAATATTCTTCAAAAGATCCAAGCTAATTGCACCTTGAAAAAATTGTATGTAAAAATCCACAATTATTGATCCTATGGTCCTTGAAACGTTTAAATCCACGATTATTTGACTAGAGATTCTTAAAAACATTCTTAAAAAAATCCTTGATTATTTTACTAGAAGTCCTCGAAAACATATTATTTTAAAATACACGCTTATTGCTCTGCAGGTCCTTGAAAAATTATTGATTTTTAAATTCACTCCTATTGCTCTTGAGGCCCTTGAAAAAAATCTTTAAAAATCCAAGATAAACTAGATGTCCTTGAAATTTTTTTTTTTCAAATTCACGTTTATTGCTCTTGAGGTGCTTAACATATATTACTTTAAGATCCACGCTTGTTGCTCTTGAGGTCCTTGAAAAAAACATTATTGACCAGTGAGCGGATACCCTACACAACTTCCACGAAAAACTAACTTTCTGTGGATTTATATTCTGAGCTTGGACAATATGTCGCGATATTTGAATCATCTGGACCAACTAGAGGCCGACAATTATTACTAATGTTCAGTACAGCCCTTCTAATTACTTGTCAGATTCCCATCCCTTGTGCTGTGATCTTCTTATTCCCATTGGAGCCTATAGATCGACTCGAAAAAACACAAAAAATTCGGTTTTCGGTCCACTTCATCGCAATATAATTATCTGGTCGTCACCGAAAATTATAGGCGTTATCCTTGACCATAACTGGAACTTCATGGAACATGATCAGCGCTATATTTCCGCCCTCTAGTGTGGTAAAGGGTTACTAAATAATATCTGAATACATAAGCACCTGTAAATGTTTAAGTGTAATTCCCACATCTGAGTACATACGATCAAATAATTGGTATCAATTTAAAGGCCAATCACTGCCCTTGGATATACCAACAACTTGTCGAGTCTATGTCCTTCAGGTGTGAATCTATACGCTATAGAATACAATTTTGTAATTTTTCACACAAAAGTCAGGGTCCATTTGACCCGCTAAATATTGACAGGCATGCTTATTCTTTGGCCCTATCCCCTTCTCTATGTAAAAATTCGCGATGTTTGGGTCATAATTGCGGCCTCTAGAGCGACCAGAAAAAACGATAAAAACTAAGTATTTGGTCAATTTCATCCCCTAGATATTAACCGATCTTTACCAAAAACAATATGGGTCTTCATTGGGCAGAACCCATCCTACATGCAAAATTTCGTGAAGATTGGTCCATAACTGTTGCCAGTATAGTGTTTACAAAATATAATGGACAGATGGACGAACGGACACACATGTCTAGATCGACTCAGCTAGTCGAGATATGACGATCGGTATACTTAAAGGTGGGTCTATAACCAACATTTCGCGGCGTTACAGACTCTTGGGGCTGCACAAAGCTATAATACCCTGACAACATAGTTGTGTAGGCTATAAAAAATCCACGATTATTTCACTGGATGTCTTTAAAAA